GGAGGTGGATGAAGAGAAGGAGGGGGTAAAGGAGATTTTTTTGGGCCTCTGAGAAGTAGAGGGACGATTGGGAGGAGGTGTAGTACGAGGTCTTGTCGATACCGGGTTTGTGAGGGAAGACACGAAGAAGTGAGGACAGACTGAGGAGTTGAAGTAGGGACGTTCGAGCCCAGGACAGCAAAAGAATTAGATACAAGAGTGACTATGGGACTGGCAACCGCAGAGGAGGCTGCAGAAGATGTGACCCCAGAAGTGGGGAGACGCTTTGAAACACGAGAATAAGAAACACGGGGCAGTCTCCCTTGGAGGCGGAGATGAGAAACTGTCATAGCATAAGGGAGACCTTCTGCCTCTTTGAGGCAACGAATTTCCCGCTCATATAAGTAGACTTGGCAACGGCGAGAGTACAAAGGGTGAGCCTCATGACAATTGAGGCAAGAGGGAGTTCGACTGCAAGCCGTATTAGAATGGTCATCAGCACCACAGACTGGGCATTTGGCTATAGATCTGCACTATTTTGCTGGGTGGCCAAATCACCAGCAATTCCTACACTGTTGTGGTGTAGGGATCACCTTCCGAACTTGTAACCGATGTCCTGCTACATAAACAGAGGATGGAAGTTCACGGCTGTCAAAAGTTAAATGAGCCACATTGCAAGGGTATTGATAGTCTTCGCCCGCGGGCAGGAAGAACATAAGTGTCTACCTTGAGAATTGGGAGATCTTGGAGTTCCAGCTGTTCGAGAATGTCAGTGCCACATGTCTGGAAATTCTGTTGGACTATGGTATGGGGCAGAATAACAGTACCACTACAAGAACTGAGGGAATGATGTTTTTTGATAGTGATAAGAATACTATCGATATGTGAAAGAAGAGAAAGATCATGAGCTTGAGTAGAATTCTGGACTGTGATGATGCACGTACCACTCTTAGGAGCGCTTTGCCAATACTATGGTCGGAAAGATAGGCAGTAAAAGTCGGTCTTAATGTAAAGAATTTAGTCCATTGTGTGGTCTGAAACTGAGTGTGGAGAGGGAGTGCATGACGTGTCAGTCTTTTCTGAGTAGAAAGGGAAGGTAACGAAGTAACATCATTAGGAGATTGTCGTTGACGTTTAGAAGTGGGACCAGAGTCGGTCCGACATGGGACGGGCTGGCGATCACAGCACCATAGAGGGAGAAGCCGGAAGCATAGTCAAAGGAGAGCGGAGGTCAGACAAATCGAAGGAGTCAGTGGAAGCCCCAGTACCTGAAGCGGGTGAGGAAACAGCACCAGCAAGAGGTACAAGGGCCTTAGGAATGTCCGAAGAGTGGCCAAAAGACGAGGCGAGGTCAGAACAGGGTGCGGTAACAATAAGGGGCCCGGGAGTAGCGGGGTCGTGGATCGGGTACTCCATGGTTAGGTTACTTCTTTCCATTTCTAAGAAAAAAAAAAGAAAAAAATAAAAATAAAAAAAAGAATAAAAAAAGGGGGGACCGGGGAGCGATAGTTCCTAGGAGGAATGAAAGGGCCAGAAATCTCCCTCCATGCCCAAGAGGACCTCAGCACCGTAAGTAGCGCAGATGCAGCATGGAACCCATGCCATACCCTACCCATCATGCCAGTAAACCAGCAATCCGGGATAGCAACCTCACATCTGCCGAGCTACCTCGGTGGACAAAAGAGAGGGCGGCCGGATATCCGCCACAAAGCATACCTCCTTCGGCCACCACCCCCGGAATCCGAAAGATGGCTTCCAGAGATGCACCCGTCGCCCAAAAGACACCCAAAGCCACCCTCCGGGATACCGTAGAGGGATTGGGACATCCCCAGGCGATCCAGATTCCACGGCAAACTACGCCACCGCCAAGAACCTCAACGGAATGGGATGGACCCTGGTACCCTTTCCCCTACTCAGGAACTAGCACGCCTGTGGGAAAAATCTCAAAGGCCAAAAAAGGAAGGGCAAAAGGGAGGGGTGGGGAGGAGGAGGAGGAAAGGAAAAAGGGGAGGATGGGATAGGGAAGGGGGGATTGGGGGGTAATTAGGTTCGGTCTGAGGAAGGAGACCGACAGGTCTAATTCCTCAGACCAAGAGCCTCTTCACCATGCCAAGGAGCCCCCCTTGAAGAGGTTTGTAGCCCACAGATCCGTCTGCTTTAAGCTCAAACTCACTCAGATGGAAATCGAAACAAACTCAGATGGTAATCGAAATATAGTCATTGTTTACACTATTTCGGTTTCCATGTGGGTTTCGTCAATTCATGAAAGAACAGGTTCACAATTAGACTATCTTACCTTGTCTGGAGAGAAGTTGAGGGTGAGAAGCACCCAACCTCATTCTAGACAACACCAGGTCAAGGTAAAACTAACAAGTAATGACACTAACAAATACCAGAAGAGCCAAGAGACGTCGCAGTTTCAAACACTTCTAACAGATGGCACTACCTATGCTCATACTGGACCATCCAATTAGTGTCACAACTGATACACTCCTCCTCGTGAACTGGAAAAAATCCTGAAGAACATATCTTTTCTCCCTCGCATACATTAAAAAAACAAGGGCCAAGCTATCACGGGTCATACGACAAAGAGGTAGTTTAAGTGAAGGTTTAAAATTAGCACTGTTGTTACCGCAATAGTTTCAGCTAAGGTTAGAAAGTTATAGAGGGAATCTGCGTTACATTATTATTATAATCAAGGAGGAAGCGCTAAACCCGTAGGATTATACAGCGCCTGTGGGGGGATGTGGAAGGTATTCAGGCTTAATTCAGAGAACTAGAGCACAGATCCAATTCCCTAGATCAAAAGCCCCTCGCCAGCATCAAGGAACCTTCCTTAAGGGGAACCTGCATTACAGAGGAAAGGGGTGGGAATCTCGTCAAGGATATTTAGATTATAATCATAAACCGATAAACCTACAAGGGTCATACAGCAAGGATATTTAGGGACAGTGTATCAGGGCATTCAAGATGTCGAAAGAGAATTTTGCATGCTCTGATAGGATAATCTTTTACTATATTGTGAACAGTAAGGAGGTTCCTGCTAGTCCTCACAGAGGGGCAGTGTCGTTTCCAATAGTACGCGTGTGAGGGGTGTGGCAGATTTGTCAATGAGTAATCTCTCGCCTAATAATAAAAAAAGAAGCGCTAAACCTACAAGCGTCATACAGCGCCGCCGGGCAGGGAAGGATGCAGGGGTACTGGGTAGCAGGAGGGAGATTATAATTATAATCAAAGGGGAGTGCTAAACCTATAGGATTATGCAATTATAATAAGGAAAGCGTTAAACCACAAGGGCCATACAGCGCTGCAGGATTATGCAGAGCCTGTGGGTGGGGGGGATGTGGAAGGTATTCAGGCTTAATTCAGGGAACTGGTGCACAGATCGCAAGAGGGAGAGGGATGATTAGGTCATGGAGTGCAGCAGGGCAGTGGATCCTATGCCTCAGTGATAGGATAATAACCGGAAGCTTAATTACTGTTTGATGGAAAACAATTTGTCCTTATATTCAAATTACAATCACAACCAAGCGCTAAACGCACAAGGGTCATACTGCACCATGGTGGCTAAAGCTCTTGCTTCACACGCTGGGTGTCCTGGTTTGATTTCCGGAAAGGGTGAAAACACTGAGCATGTTTCCTTACACCGGTTGTCTATGTTCACTCATTAGTATTATTATAATCATGGGGGAAGCGCTAAACCCGTAGGATTATACAGCGCCTGTGGGGGATGTGAAAGGTATTCAGGCTTAATTCAGGGAACTGGAGCACATATCCAACTCCCTAGATCAAGGACCCCTCACCAGCATCAAGGAACCTTCCTTGAGGGGAGGCACCCATCAGTAAAAATGGGTACCCAGGTGATAGTCACATTCTGGAACAAAATTGACCTAATTTACCTGAATTGCTCTGCATAACAAGGGGCTTTCTATATAGTAGTAGTGTGCGAGGGGTTAATGCAAATTTAAATCATGGGTGATGCAATAGGTTAGTAGAAAGCAAGTGTCATGTGCAGAACAAGCAAGAAAAATGTATTATTATAATCACAGGGGAGCACTAAACCCGTAGGATTATACAGCGTATGTGGGGGGATATGGAAGGTATTCAGGCTCATCATTATTATAATCAAAAAGAGCACTAAACCACAAGGGCTATACAGCTCAAATCAGGGAACCGGAGCACAGGCCTAATTCTCTAGATCAAGAGCCCCTCACCAGCGTCAAGGAACCTTCCCTGAGGGGTAACAAAAGTGGAGTAGACGCATATACAGCTGTCGAGAAAAAGAAGGGTTCTCGGTAGTTGTTTCAAGTGATGGATGTGCCTGTAAAGGTTGGATCGACTTGTACCTTGGGAGACTAAGTGAGGTCTGTGGTGGCACCTATATCTGTTAAAGATGTATTAGTAGTCAAAATTTTAAGTAGTTCGTCGGAGTGTAGTTTTAGTTTATAAAAACTTACGCACTAAACCCACAAGGGCAGTTTTTTGGAAGAGTACATTTTACATCATGGGAAAGCACCAAACCAATAGGGTTCATACTGCACCTGGGAGGTATCTGACTTTGATCCAAGGAAGGGGGTAGCAAAGTCCAGATCTTTTGATCAAGAGTTCCTCACCAGCAGTACTACATTATCCTACCTTCAGAGAATATCTGATTACACGATTTGCAGTTCTGGTTCAAAAAAAATTTCACACGAAGTTGTGGTTTAATATGCAATTAAGTCTGTATTAGTAAAATATTTCTCCCTAGGTAGATAATCCTGCACGGAGTTGAGCATACATATGGCCTACACTGACTTATGTTGACAACTTCAATTGGAAAATTACGAGTAAGGAGGCAATTTCAAGTAAAAAAATAATTACTGCTAAACAACTTAAAGTGAAATTATTTACTGCTAAACAATTTGTGTGTACTTCAAAGTAATTTTTTTTTTTTAGGCTTTCTATGTTTTAATGTAACTTGAAAAATCTGTTCTGATTATAGGCTGAAAGAATACAGATAAAAAAGGATTACCAAAACAATATTCCTCTTTAATATATTTATTTTTAAGAATCATGTATGTACAAATGTACATATTCACAGCCAATCATGCACAAATAACATATTTGTGCAGTGATTGTACTTACAGCACCAGTCGTGACAATGATGAACAAAAGATGAACATCAAAAGGCAGCGATGATGAACCAAGAAAATCCTATGCCTTGATCCACACTGGTACATATTCTTCTGAAACAGGTACAGTAGTTCCAAGGTCTTCTGTGATCATCCAAGACTCACCAACACTGGCTGCAGCAGTCCAATGTTGCATTACACAAGTTCTCTTGCAACAAAGTAAGAGCAACCTTCTGCCACGCTTCAAAGAAGCTAATGTTTTGTTCACTGGGGTAATGTTCTGTCACATTTAACACAGGTACAAAATCCTAGCCATCAACACTAGAAAACTTCAGGATTTAAAATTATATATCAATCAATAAATAAAAAAAAAAAAAAAAAAGAATATTTCTATGTCATTTGCATAATGCCCACTGAAGACTACTTCAGATATACTTTACTGAAAGAAAGCCCCCAATGAACATGCAGTGTATATAAAAAGAAAGCTGAGGATAAAGTACGAAATATAAAATACAAGTTGTCTGCATTTGGTGCACATTAATGCCTAAAAAATTAGAGAATTTTTTTTTACATAACTTCAAGGAATTATTTTGGTAGTACACATAAAAAATGTAAATGCTATACGTTATACTATGATTGCAAGACCTACATCCAAACACCAAATCAATTTCACTTCAAGTCTATACAGAATTAGGAAACACTAAAATAGTACAATAAAATGGTGTCCCAAGAAACCAACTAGTGATTGCATGATTTTAAGTTATGGATTGTGAGGAGTATCAGCCTATGAGTGGTGTTGAGTGAGTGATAACTACGTCTTACCCAGCCTGGCCACCATCACCCTCACCCGCCAACCAGCCGGGCTCCACCTGCAATATATGAATTGTTACTATCACAGACTGCCCTTCACTACCCATGCCACTCCAACTTAGGTTTGCAACTCACTCCTAAACTTAGTAATAAAAATGGTAGTTACTGTAGAAAAACTTTCTTACACAATCAAAAACTTTATTAGATATTTGGATTTTTAATTCATATGAATCAACTCGAAGGAAATTTAGATTATGATTTACAATAAAAAAAATTATTTCCAATAAAAAGGTTAAGAAACACCAAGAATTTAATGTAACAGTATTCATTTTACTACACAGTATTGTGCAAGAGCAACATGAGGTTCATTTATATATATATAGTACTATATTTTTTATAGTAATAAAATGATTATAAAAGACTAAGGAATAGATACCACTGTTCAGTTACATGAAACAAATGACCTCGCATATACAAGCATCAATAACCTAAGCATTTCATTTATAATGTCAGTGCTTCATGAAACTTCTATTATGACTGAAATGTCTAATTTTGTAATGCATAATCTGACACACAAATAACCCGCACATAAAAGAGAGAAGCTACGACGACGTTTCGGTCCGACTTGGACCAGTGACTTTGTCAATGGTCCAAGTCGGACCGAAACGTCGTCGTAGCTTCTCTCTCTTTTATGTGCGGGTTATTTGTGTATCGTTCCAGTCACGGTATTGTGCCTTTTTGTTATTTATAATCTGACAATTACAGAAGTATGGATTATTATAATCAAAAAGAAGTGCTAAACCCACTAGGGTTACAGAAGTAGTGAAAACTGTATTATAGCAGGCTCATGCAAAGAATATAATCTAAAGTGACCTTCACACAATATAAATTTCTAACTTCTTTCATAAATTTAAAAACAATTTTAGACAAATTTATTTTAACATGAGTGTACAGTTAATATGATTGCAAAACTACAAGAACAGGAACATTTTTACTTTATATTCAACTTTATAAACCAAGATATCAATTAAAGGAGCAAACCTCAAAGCAAACTGGGCATAACTCACTGTTAAATTAATGATAAATTTAGGTGCAAGGAAAAAATCTGAAATTAGAATAATTTAGTATTATATTAACTGATTCTGACTGATAAGAGAATTTAAAGTTGAGATTGCTTTTGTTTTTTAAATGCCTAATGTTGTTTCAAAAAAGAATTTCAATACAAAACGACAATAGAAAGTCGCTAGTGCCACTAACCTGTCACTGTTGATTACTAACTTCCTGGAAGAAAAAAATGAAAAGCCTAATGTTCATCTAATTGATCACAAAAAATGGGGTTAAACACCCAAGATTTTTATATTACTATAGAAGCAGAAATAGGTAATTTTTACTCTGTACCTTATGACAAGCAAATTTAATTCCCACAAATGAAGAAAAACAGTACACCAAATTATGAAATTGCTGTTTTACAGAACATAAGTTTTTTTCACGAATTGTATAAACAATGGTGTGGTGTCTAAAGCAATGCACTATCACAAGACAATAGAAATGACCTAACATTACTTGTTATAATACAGCATATTACTCAACTCTTGGATCATCTACAGTCTTTCAGAAACTACATATTTCCAACCGCATTACTTCCTTTAGATTGTATCATGAATAACAACACTATCAAATATCTTTGCCATAAATAAAACTATTGTAATTTACCTAAGGCAACATGAAGACTGAAAGGTTGACCAAATCTATAGATTTTCTGTCTTCATATCAACCTTTACACATTGAAGGCATGCCTGTTTTTTTTAATTGCTTTCAAACTGATACACTAATAATAATTTTATCCTAAATGATAGTTTATCCTATACATTTCCTGTCTTGGGTAACTACTTTGGTGGTAAACAGCCATGGTAATAAAAATAAAGGCTGCTTTAATTGCAAAATACTTTGATGCCTTTATGTTAGTACCAATAAGTTATTGTTTCCTGAGATGGTTGCTTGGTTACCAGTGTAAAAAAAAAAAAAGCTAGACGTGTATTTTTTTTTTTTTTTTTTTTTTGCCTAAGATTACATGAAATTATCAGACTGGGCAGAAAACTCTTTTGTCAATAATTTTATGTCAAGTTCAAATTAAGATAACCTTACCATCTATGGACTGAGGGAAAAAAATCAATACTTACCACACACAATCACCATCCTTAACTTAAGCAAAAAACTTATCATACAACAGTAAAATAGGCTAGCAGCATGTGAGTATTGCTCTAGAGCTCTCACAAAAACTCGTAATCAATTTGCAAAACAGGAAGTAAAATTCTATTACTGAAAATTAACTACTGAGATACACATGCTACATTGTCAGTAATGTAACAAGATTTTTACTCTCCATACATTACATTTCCAATTAAAAATGAATTTAATAATTAAGAAACTCTCTTGTTATGAGGATAAGATCACCAAGGAATATTCTCACTGACAATTCACAAAAACAATATTTGCCATCCCTTTCTAAAGGAAAGAAGTTTTTTTTTTTTCAACAAGTCGGCCGTCTCCCACCGAGGCAGGGTGACCCAAAAAAGAAAGAAAATCCCCAAAAAGAAAATACTTTCATCATCATTCAACACTTTCACACATTATCACTGCTTTTGCAGAGGTGCTCAGAATACAACAGTTTAGAAGCATATACGTATAAAGATACACAACATATCCCTCCAAACTGCCAATATCCCAAACCCCTCCTTTAAAGTGCAGGCATTGTACTTCCCATTTCCAGGACTCAAGTCCGACTATATTTTCATTATTTTCATATAGGAAAGAAAAATATGTCAGGATAAATATTTGATTTTATTGACACATCAGCCATTTCCCACCAAGGCAGGGTGGCCCAAAAAAGAAAAACTTTAAACATCATTCACTCCATCACTGCCTTGCCTGAGGTGCGCTTACACTACAGTTATAAAACTGCAACATTAACACCCCCTCCTTCCGAGTGCAGGGTAGTCTAAAAACCAAAATATTTCTAAGCATTACATATTAGATGCTTGGTTTTTCTCAGAAATGAGGGGACATTCAATTGTACCTGTCTTCTCCAACCTAGATCATTAAACAAATGACCCGCACATAGAAGAGAGGAGCTTACAATGATGTTTCGGTCAGACTTGGACCACTTACAAAGTCATACTGTTATTTGTGTATTGTTCCAGTCACAGTACTGTGACTTTTTTTGTTAGATCATTACCATGAGATAGGTCTGATGACGCCTCTGGTATTAGATTCTAGAGGAACACTTATATGGTGACTTTCACATGCTGGGAGAGCTATAATAAATCCAATTTCCTATAACTTATGCAAACAGGATGTTATAAATAATAGAAAATAAGCATTTTAAATTTCTGGTTGAACACTGTCTGCAAAGTGCAATCTGCCACCACTAACTGCATGCACACCAACACCACACCAATTCACCAGTTTAGCAATTCACTACAAAGTATCAATAAACAATTGTTTTATTACTGTCATGAAAGCATTAGTGTGCAGGTTATCTCCATTTGTGGGTTTCAAGGTTATCAACTGTCAATGAAACAGATAGTGTTTGTCAAAGAAATGGTTAACATGACACACATTTGTAGATACCAAATTACAACTACCACTCATTGTAACGCAGCCCTCAAAACCTAAGGTTCATAGAAGTTTCAGTATTTCAGCACAAAATAAAGGATCAGAATGCAATGAAACAAGACAAAGTAATTAATCATGAGCCATGCAGCAAAATTAAAAATAGAAAGAAATGGCCATCATGGTAAACATAAGCAAAGAACAAAATAATCATTACAAATTACCACAAGTTATAGAAGTGGGGGCGAGTAACTATTAAGAGCAATTAATATTTTGGGCTGTTAAAAAATGCATAAAAACTGAAAGGGGCTAAAGAGGAAGAATAATAAATTTGCAATACACTTTTCTATTATAAAGGAGCAAGTGGAAAGGACAGAAAAGTAACAAATAACCCACACATGGGAGAATGACACATATGACGATGTGTCTATCCAACTACGACCATTAATTAATCACACTTAATGCGAAGGGAAGGGAGCCAGTGAGTGAGTTAGTGTGAGAGCATGTGAAAGGAGGGCAATGCCACGAGTAGTAGAACAAGAGGAGGTAGTAATATAATTGTAGTAGTGATAACAGTAGTATGTAGTTGAATATGTAGTGCAACAGAGGCAATAAGGGAGTGTGGTAGTGACGGAGGCACAGTGTAGTGTTAGCAAAGCAATGGGGAAGAATACACTGTACTGTTACCAAAAAGAAAAAAAAGGATATAAAAACAATTAGGACTATAAAAGCAACCATTAAGAAAGACCTAGTGAAAGTGAGTAAAGATAAAGTAATACATAAGTGGCCAAGGCATAAATTGAAGAAAATAATTAAGGATAGATTTCCTAGATGAATAAGGCAGAACCTACTCATCAAATGAAAACTATATCAAAATTTATAAAGATTATATGCAAAGAAGAATGGGGGCAAGCTAAGGAACAATCCGGTCTTATTAAGTTTAGTCAAACTGCATGTGTGTGTCATTAAGGTTGCAATTCACTTGTATTCAAGAATACTTTAAACCCTAAAATAGAAACAGATGGATGAAAACATACACAATAACCAAAGTTCCACAAACACCCTAATGTACCTGGAGTATAAGGGTAATTTAAGTGTCTGAAATATGTTATCTATTTATGTCTATTTTTGGACCCCAATATGGATTACATTTTCATTTGGCCCTTGTGCTTTACCACTTCTTGTACATCATTACACCCCCCCTTTTTTTTCCTTCTAATGTCATAAGGTTTAACATTCTTTTTCGTAATTCATTCTGCTGTACTACAACACCAGTCATAATGCACTTCCCTATACAGAGTTCAACTTTGTTTTACTAGACGAGAGTTCCAGACAGGTAACGCATACTGAAGAATGGGTTGCATGCATTAAGTAATATGTTTGAATATTTCTAGGTTCCTGGTCCTTACTGTCCAGACCCCCAAAATTAATAGTGCTCTTAGTATCCACCAAAAAAAAAAAAAAAAAAAAAAAAAAAAAAAATCTGATATGGAAGAGAATCTTTTTCTGAAGGTAATGACACCAAAATTACAAAATTGGATGTAAAACTTACAGAATTATGCAGGCACAAAATTTGCAAATTGGGCTCAACTTGCACAATAGCAATTTTGCCCACCGAGTCCTATTTCAAGCTAATTCCATGGCTCCATTCAACCAAATTCTTAGCTATTCTGCTAGTATGCATTCAGTTCTACTGATTGAGCACAAGAAACTGCCTATTCAATTATAACTACCCTAAAAGTGCACAGTTTTACACAATTACAAAAATTCCAATTTTAAAAGTCCAAAATAATACAGACATTCCAGGCACTATAACATAATTTCCTTTGTTCATTAACCATGTTCCCAGGTCTCTCCTGTATCACACTTGCCTTCCACAAACAACTGAAGATTTACCATATTTCTCGGTTAATAAAATATAACCAGGAACAATTAAGTCATGGTTTACAGTCCCAACAACTGAATCAGACCTATTAAATACCCATAAAACAGACCAAGGAGTGTAGGGAAACCTTACCCCTCCTCAGGAAAACTGGCAAAATTCAAATATTTCTGCTACTATGAGTCCCAATTTCAAACTACATGTATTTTCATTCCTGAAACCAACCAAAATCATTTCATTCAGCAGTATGTCTTCTATTAAATGATACCAAGAAACAGCCAATAAAACCATCTAAGAAAACACTTCAAGGATTTTTTTTTATACAGGGGACCCCCAGTTATTGTTCTTAATCTGTTCCAGAAGGTCGGTTGAAATCTGAAATGGACGAAAACTGAAGCAATAGTTCCCATAGGAATTAACATAATCCAATTAATCCGTTCCAGACACCCAAAAATAACAAAAAATACATTTTATAGAGAAGAACTACAGTGTTGCAGCTCTTCAGTGATTAGCTCTTCCCTGTGGTCATCCACCAACTCTTCAACATCCTGGCCACTCACATCCAATCCCATGGATTTCCCCAAAGCCACAATAGATTCCACAACAGGCATAGGGTTGTAAAGTTTACACTAACTTCTAGTATTTAGTTAGTAACAAAACCAAGCATTAAAAAACACAATAAAGAGTAAAATACATACACAGAACATTCATTACTTACCTTAAAATATTTGTAGTCTTAATGTAGGGTGAGGTGAGTTGTACTTATTTGTAGGAAGTCAGGTGTAGG